AGACATAAGTAAAAGACACAAGTTAGAGTTAAAAGAAAACATAACCAAACTGGATATCCATAATAAAGTATCAACCAATGAAAACAGATCATAGTCTATATAAGCTAGAACATCTTATGCATAATTCTCTTTATTCTCAGACATAGATAAACAAACTGCAAACAATTGAAAGCCGGAATTGTAGAGAAGTGTACAGAAAAATGGTACTGCAGAAACACCGATCAGGAACACAGTCTGCCAGTGAACTTGGAAGCAGGTTACACTGAAAAATAAAGCAGGAGAAAAATAAGGGTAGGCAAATGGGAGATACAATATTAACCTCCTGCCTTTAATAAAATCTATATTGCCTTCACCATAAGACTATTCAAATCTTAAAGGATCACTATAGGTCAGGAACACAAACATGAATTCCTGACCCTGTAGTGAAAACCCATCATTTGGGTGGCTTGCGCCCCTTAGCCTCCTCAGAATGGGTTAAAACTTACCTTATATTTCAGCTCTCTACAGGTCTGCCAGCGCTGGCCCCACCCCTTGGTGACATCATCAAAATTGCTGATTTTTAGCCAATCCAATGCTTTTCCATGGGGAAAGCATTGGATTGGCAAGGGGGCGGAGCCAAATACTGTTTTTGCCAATCAGCACCTCCTCATTGAATCAATGCATCTTTATGAGGAAAAATCAGCGTCTCCATGCAGAGCATGGGGACACTGAACGGCAGTGCTGCTTACTGTGCAGCCCTGAGCCAGGAAGCCCCTCCAGTGCCCATCCGAGGAGTGGCTACTTGGGGGTGTCCCCAGAGGGCAGTGTTTACATGAAAATGCCTGAAGGGAGCTATTATACTCACCAGAACAACTACATTAAGCTCTAGTTGTTCTGGTGACTATAATGTCCCTTAAAGTTTTATAGGAGACCGTAGGCTCATAGTATGTAGTTTTACAGCTGACAATTACAACAAGCAAATATTAGAAAACAACCACAAAAAGATTATATAGGTTCACCAGAGAGGATGGTAAAACAATGCAGTCCTGAATCACATCAAATAACCTCCATCACAATATATAGGTGAAAAAGTATCCTTCAAAATTCCAATAGGATACTGGATAGAATGAAATGTCCGGAGGCCAAATCAGTATAGACAGTAATAAAGGAAAATGAAAAATCCTGTTGTCAGTAGACTTGCAGAAAATTAATCTGTTCAAAGTCTCTCTCCCTTTGAAACTTACTAGATAGATATAGGAGGAAAATCAGAAATAAAGTTAAAAAAAAAATACTAAAGCAGTCAAAGCAACATGCTAATCATTAGTGAAAAAAATTGAATAAAGTGCCCAGTGAAAAAAACAAAAAGCTGGAACGCCCAATACGTTTCGGTGCAGGACTACATGCGCCTTCATCAGGGGCAAATATTACAATATAGATTTAGACACACATGTAACATGTATACGAGTATGAAAAAAATTTAAAATATATATATATATATATATATATATATATATATATATATATAAATTAAACTTATTCAAAGACCAATCTGCAGGCTTTCAGAATGTCTGTTAAGGAGCACCCTTCCTGTAAAACATTAGTCATTAGTAGACATGGCTCCTCTACTGGAAGGAACCCCAAATTCAGAAATATCAAAATCTGTTTTGTGTTAAGCTAACTCATCTTACAGTTGGTGTAAACAATGGAAAAAGTAGTTCACAGAAGGAAATCAATAAGAGAAGGCAGTTTGGAGGCTGATTGCATTTGCAGAAATACATTATTCCAAATGCTTTTACCCCTTGGGTTCCGGTTGGTGGGTTCTCCACACACTGAAAAAGCAGCAGCTACACGAGGACAAGTAAACCAGGTAAGTAGAAAACAATTTACTTTGTTCCATCCAAATAACATTAAATCAATACAAACGTTAGCAGTGCACTTCCAATGAGACATCTCTCCAGGCTATAAAACAATGTTAATTACCCAGGACACACCTCCAATATACAAATTAATTTAAAAACAAAAAGTGGACTTGGAAATAAATTGAGCCTATTAAAAAGGAGAGAGAGAAATGCTAAGGGCGGCATCAACTTTACTGTCTCTGAGGAAGTGCCTATTTGGCACAAAATGTGTTCGCTTCTTTTTCTCTGTGACACCACTCCACCCAGAGCCGGCCGATCCATAGGCAGCACTTTAACAGTGCTGTGATATCCCCAAACGCCCACATTGACATCCTCTGTGTTCCCCCAGCTCCGGCCTAATGCTGTGCTCCCTTGTGCCGTTTCCTGATGCAGGCAGCCGGAATATGATGTCATATTCTGGCTCCCGGCATTAGTGGACAGGCTGTGAGGGAGTAGAGCAGGAGGATTACAGCTCTCATGGGCTTGCATTCTAACAGATCCACTCCAGCTCTCCCAAAGGTAGGGAGGCTGGGTGGACAAATTTCAAGATTATTAATAATTTGTGAGTATCTGTGAGAGAATGTGTGAGTGTGTGTATCTGTCAGTGAGTGTCTATCATATCAGTGAGTCTGTGTTTGTCATTGTGTGTGTGTCTGTCAGTCAGTGTGTGTTTATCAGTGAGTGCATGTGTGTCTGAGAGTGTGTTCGTGTCAGTGAACGTGTGTGTTGGTTAAACGGTGTGTGAGACAATGACCGTCAATGAGTGTATGTAAGACAACATGCCCTTACTAATGCACATACGGTCATTCTGCTCTCCACACTGTCATCCTAACACCCTGCCCCCCTATAATGTCCTCTTCCTACACACTGTCACCTTCCTACATTCTGCCCTCTCCAAACTGTCAACTTCCTATACACTGCCCCTCAATGCATTCACACTGCATCCAATATACACACACAATTAATAAACTACACACACATCGTCCACTACACAAACAAACATTGCAGTCACTACACACACTGCATAACATAATGGATGTTGGCATGCTTTTGGTGCGGGAGTGGGCGGGGAAGCATTTCATCTTTGGACCCAGGCAGCACAATGTCTTGGGCCGGCCCTGACTCCCGCCCATTGTGTACTGCTAACATCTTTATAATTTTAATGTTGTTCAGATGGAATAAGATGAATTGTTTTCTACTTACCTGATCGTGCTTAGATGCTTGTCATTTACTCGGTATCTGGCATTGTAGTTGCTCAGTAGGAAATGAATAATAGGAAGGAGACAGTGGACCACACAGGCTGATGTTGGAAAATATGAGTAAACAATTGATTTTAGATTAGTTTTGGTACATTAATGTATAATGAAATTGAGTCTTTCTGAAGTGAACCATCTATATCGTAAATTAATGGCCTTAACATCTGACACCATTTTGATGGAAACAAGACCTCATAAAATGGTAAGTTTATGAAACCAAGCATTTAAAAAAAAAAGTTTATCATTCCAAGAATTTAATGATTGGACTGGAGAACCAACCAAACCAACATATTTGGGAAGTAGAGGTTCTCCGAGGCAAATACCTCTCAATTTGTATACAAAGGGATATGTACCTGCTCGAAAGTATTCAACAAGAGCATGACCTGTGGAGATAGTTTAGCAATATACATTAATAATGCAATTTACTTTTCCAAGTGTGAACTCGGGTAAAGAAAATTCAAGTTCTGAGAGGCAGGCGAATGTATGGGATCCAGACCCAGCATATCCAAAGCTTCTAGTTTCTTTCTGGGAGGTTTAGGGCTGCACTCAGTGAATTCACTACAAAGTATAGGAACTCTGATTCCTGAGTAAGGGTAAGAATGTTTTTCTTTGTGTTATTTGCTAATGTGAGAATTCAATGTAAAGTTCAAATTTATGGCCAAAGAAGTGGTGTGGTAAGTATAGCGAACTTAGATAATGTTTCCATTATAGCTATTTTAATAATATTTAACTCATTACTTTAGTAAATAACCCTGTGTGCCCGATAAAACAAGGATTTGTTAATAGAGATATGGTCCAGTCCATATGGAATTTAATTATGAACTGAGTCTGGGACATTAAAATAATATCTGTCAGCTATATAATCTCACTCCTCAACTTCGTAACAGAGAGATCACAGGTTTTAAAAGAATAGTGAAATACCAAAGTGTCAAGGAAAGACCTAATGGGATGCAAGTGAATTGCCATTTATTCCTGTCCATAACAAATTAGATAGTATAGGTCTGGAATGTTGGTATAAAAGTAATTTTCGTACATACAGTATGTGTGACAAAAATGGTCATATATCTTTCTTTTAAATATTTGCAGTTCAGCATACTAAAAATGGCAACAGAATATAAAAATAATTTCTTCATTGGAACATAATGCCCACATACAGTAACCACAGTTAATCATAGATTTCTAAAATAAATATATATATAAAAAATAGCAATGGCAATCTTTATAGATCTTTGGAATGGTAATGTAATGCTAACATAGAAATAGGAAAGTTGATTCACTCCCATGACTGCAAGGAATAGTATAACCCATTGAAATGTCTTTTACTGTTTTGAAGGAGTGGGTATCTGGGGTTTTTGGGATATGTTTAGCCATTAGCTAATGCCTTTCTGGTAGAGAAATTGATTCCTCTACAGGCTGGTGATAAGTTATGGCATATAAAAGGTGAGTGAATTTATGAATGAAATTTTGTTTTGCAAAGTGCATGAAAATAAAAACCTCACAATGAGCATAGCGCATCAGTATAATCACAATCTATCAATTATAAAGTGATCATGCAATAGGTGCTTTATCATACCAAATAAAGTATGTTATAAAGTGTTTCTCCTTCCATAAAATTGGCAAAGCACAGAAACACCTTTAATTATTGCAAAATAATAATAATAAATAATTATAAGTGCAAAATACTCTTAAACTGTATTCCAAAATCTGGAAATATCACTCTTACTATGTATAACCTTCAAAACTGTCTCACTTATAAAAATGAAAATATGGCAGAGCTCACAGCAAAAAAAAAAAAAAAAAGCTTTAAGCCTCTGTATTACTGAGGAACATGGCTGAGATGTTGGGAACACTAGAACGCACTCCGCAAAGTGGACAATACCGTACCACACAGAAAAAAGCTTGGAACTACCTATTGTGGAAAACTGTACAAGAACACTGGAGATTTAGGCATTGAATGCACGCTGTGACACACAGTGGGACAGTTCAAATTGTCGCTTGCAAATATTCTTATTAAGTAAACAAAATTAACACTATAAAAGTGTGATGTAACATGCCATGGAAACTCCCAGTGCAGTTGGTCCCTCAACCCGTAGCCTCTTGTACATATACACATTAAACAATATTAAGTGATATCAATAGGTGCTCAATATAAATAATTCACAGTTGAGCAGCAAAAACTCCCATTGTACAGCGCTACGGAATTTGCTTGCGCTACATAAATAATAATAAAAAAAGTGACTGGCCCCTCCCATTCCAGTAAAAGTGCAAAAATACAGTGAAACACTACAGTGAGGTGCGCTCAAAAGGTATTCTTATGGATTGATATCCATATAATTAAGGTAAACGTGAAAAATTAAACATATAACAATAATCGTGTAGAACAATATCAAAATGTAGGATAAATGTGTACGCAGTGCCAGCTAGTTACTGGTTATAGAGCCCAAGATTGGCTCTAATAACCGCGATTTAAAATCAGTATCCTCGTTATTTTCTATGTTTTGTTCCAAGCCTGGCTCCAACTCTCAAGATGTTACACCATTAATGCTGCTCCCACCTATCTATCCTGCCTAATACACAAGTATGTCCCATCGAGACCCTTACGTTCTGCTGCAGACTTATGTCTATCTTCTGTCCGTACACCCACCTCTGATGCTCGCCTGCAAGACTTCTCGAGGGCTGCACCGTTCCTGTGGAACTCCCTTCCCTCCTCCGTTAGATGCTCACCCAGTCTCCACTCCTTAAAAAAAATCATTAAAACCCCAGTTCTTCACAAAAGCGTATTAATTAAACTGTTAATAGCTCCTGACTGATTCCTCTCTTGCAATTGTCATTAGTCTAATACTGGCTGGCCTGCACTTGGTTTATATCCATCGCTATTGTTCATTCACCCATCTTTCTATTTTCTTGTTAGTCTAATACTAACCTTACCTTTTGTGTCACTTTACCCTACTCCCTCTAGTATGTAAGCTCATTGAGCAGGGTCCTCAACCCCTCTGTTCCTGTGTGTCCAACTTGTCTGGTTACAACTACATATTTGTTCGTCCACCCACTGTAAAGCGCTGCGGAATTTGTTGGCACTATATAAATAATAATAAACTATGCCAAGGTTGACAGTTATTTATATGCACATTGTAATGACATCAGAGTCTGTCTCTGTGGTATATGGTGCTTTCTTTTTGGTTGTGTGTTTGTTTGTAATTTTGTTTCCTTATCGAAAAAGACAGTAATCTCTGTCCATGACTTTTGTGTATTTCAAAAATGTGATATGATATATATTTTTTCTTGTCATTTAAATAAAGAATTAAAAAACAAAAATGTATAAATAAATCAGAATCCTCTGGATACCATCAACAGATCAGTCCACTCAATGTAAAACCACCTCCTGCTGGACCTGAATCAGTAAGTGTACAAGAGAATGTGTTGTAATGACGTTTAATGTTTATAACTGCATCACACATTGCCAATCCAGGGGAGGTGCACTGTGCCCAGGCACCCAAATGTGGGGGGTGGGGGCATAGAGATGAGTCCTGTCACAGGGTACCCAGGAGGTGGCTGTCTGGCTAGCTTAGGGCACCCCCGAAGCAGCGCTTATTAACTAAGGCAGAGTAGGCACCTAATCTGATTATATATTTCTGAGGGAGGAGAGGAGGCAGTGAATCAGGTTTTCCAGGGGCAAGGGAGAGAGGTTTTGCAGTTCCTCACTCCAGCCTTGGCATACCAAACAGCGGGTAAGAGGAGTGAGAAACTGCAAAATTACAGTACAGCCCCACACAGGACCCCTGGGAGAGGTAGGGAGGCTGGATGGGCCTCAAAAAATTAAATTAAATCGTGAGTGTGCAAGAGTTTCTGTGTCTGTGAGTACTTGTTTGCCAGTGGGTGTGTGTGCGTGTGTATGTTATGTATGTATGTATGTCTTGGCTGTCAGTGACCTTTTTTTGTTTTTTCTTGACAAGATCGTTTCAAGTTTATTAAGGTGACATTGTGTTCCAGGAAACAAACAAACATGTATAGAATGGTTGTGTGTCAGTGAGTGTGTTTCAAATCGATGAGATTGTGTCTGCCAGTGTGCGTCTGTCAGTGTCTCTCTCTCAGTGAGAGTGTTTGTAAATGTCAATGAATGTATCTGATTAGAAAAATGGGTGGGACTTGTAGATGGAAAGGTGGAGTCATTGCCATAGAAACATGGATGTCTGACAATTTGCAAAGGGGAGGGGTTAGTAAGATGACCTTGCCCACATGGGGAGAGGGGGTAAAAAATATTCTGCACCCAGGCGTCTGTAACCCTAGAATTGGCATTGGTAGCACGTATAAAAAAAAAAAAACGTATTTCTCCAGTATAGCCAGAACAGCTTATGCTTCATTCAGAATGATCTATTGAGCAGCAAGGGCTCAATAGCAGAAAAATGGAACAGGTGTTTTGGGTGCAATTTCAGTAAAATATATATGTTTGCACAAACTGATCATAATATCAAATAAAAAGCAATTTTAAAACAAACCATTGGAAGTGGATATTATAGGGTGTTAATATGGCCACATGGGTAATCAATTAAAAACTCCACCCACTTACACCATGTAACTTGAAACGTGTTTTGCTCTGGCTGTGCTTCTTGCAATCAAGATAAACGATCCACAGAAGCAGATCTGAATAAATGCAGCATTTATGCAATCAGATATTCACCTGTACCAACGTAAATGGTGTAACTTCTTAGTTGTGTCATATATTGCTATAGGAGAAACAAAAATAAAAATAGGTTAATTATCTACATAAATGTGTGGCACAACTCAGTACTATGTACTAAAAGTATCACTAGGCAAGCATATGGCAGAGCGTGCCTAGGCCATTTAAAGGGATGCTATAGTATAAGGAATGCAAATCTGTATTCCTTACACTATTATTTATAAAGTGAAAACAAATTCTGCAGCACTGTACATTATAGCTCCCTCTGGTCCCCCCTCCCTTGCGCCCCTACCACCCTTTAGTCACTTACTCCATTCCAGCACTAATGTCTCTCGATGCTGGGTCTCCTCGATGTTATCAAACAGGAGGAGCTACTGTGAATTAGGCTCTCCCCATAGTGAAATTATTGCTTTAATACTTTCCTATGGGGATTTTACGGATGGTGTATGTCCTCATGCAGAGCGTGAGGACGTCCAGTGTCAATTAGGCGATCTAAAATCAGTTAGCAAGCAGGAAGTGCCTCTAGTGGCTTTCTGATTGATTGACAGCCACTAGAGGCAGTCTTAGTCCTGCAATGTAATTATTGCAGTTCCTCAGAAAATGCAATGATTTACATTGGAAAACTAAGTGTGAAAGGGACACTGCACCCAAACCACTTCACGGCAATCAAGTGGTCTGGGTGACAATAGTGTCCCTTTAAACATATTATAAAAACAAATGTAAAAAGTTTGCAAACGCCACAAAATAATAGCCATGGGTCAAGATACTATGGGTGTGGTGATACTTTATCCAGGGGCCAGCTGGGTCGAGCAGTCTTGCTTACACACGAGCCGCGCACGGCTCAATCTTCTCTTCTGAGTGGGCCATGTGCACTGACCGCAATAAGCGGTCACGCGGCCCGCCTGCCAGTAGGAGCGTGACTCGCATCACGAGCGTGCTCTTAAAGGGGCAGTGGGAGCCAAAAGTAGATTAAGGCTCCCATTGGCCCACATCATTCCGACGCCCCCACACACACACTTTTCAGGGCGTGGGCATGATGTGGGACAATCAAATGTTAGTTAAGGATATTTAAACTTTCCTGGCCCTATCCACTTGCCCTATCGTGGCTTCTGTTTCAGTATCCTTTAATGCGTTCTTTGATCTATCACAGCGGTTGCCAAACTGTGACGGGCACACAGGGGAGCCGCAAGTTATTTTCCCGGAGCTATCATTATAGTACCGGCAACTGTGCTCTCTCAGAGAGCTCCCTCTCCGGCCTGCTAGCACTGTATTGCTGGCAGCCGGCAGGGAGGGAGGTAGAGCGGACCCGGGGGGAGCTCTAACCTGCAGCTCCGCCGGGTTCTCCTCTCGCGAGATCAGAGCTCCTGAGGCTGCTAGAGTTCACTGTCTCCACTGGGACCACCAGGGATTACAGGAAATGTCCCCCCTCCAGGCAAAGGTACGCAGGGAGAGGGGGATATAATTTTTATTTTTAATAAAAAACAAAAACAAAGTATATATTTATTAATTTGCCCTCCTACCCCCACAGACCCCAACCACTCAATAACTCCCCCCATACACACACACACTGCCTCCCATACACACACTACCCCCCATACACATTATCACCCCCTTAAACACATCATTGTCCTCCCATACACACACACTGCACCCCCACACACACTGCATCCCTCACACAACCGCCCTCCCCACACACACACTGTACCCCTCATGCACAAACTACCCCACATACACACACACACTGCACCCCTCACACACACACAAACTACATCCTTCACAAACACAATGCACACCTGTACACACACATGCACCCCGCAACCCTCACACACACACACACATACACACACATACTTCAGCCCCTATCCTGGAAGACCCCACGTAAGTTGTCAAACTGTTCTTAAACAGTTTGACTACTTACCCTGGGAGGACACTATGGCACTACTGGCACCATAACCACTACAACGTAATATAGTGGTTATTGTGCCTGTATTGTTTCTTTAAATAATCTACCAGTGCCACTCCCAAGATTAGGGACCCAGTATATGCCGCAGTGCTGTACATGTATACAACCTAGAAAATGTTTTGATTTGGCGTGCATTGGAAAAATATTGAAATATTAAGGGTGCCTGGAACCTAAAAAGTTTTGGAACCACTGATCTATCGTGTTTATTCTGATATTGACCCTGGCCTTGTATCTGACTCTGAATTTATCTTTAACCCATTTATGTCTTGTTTGTCCGTCTGACTGATTACCGTGTACCTGACTCTGGCTAGTTCTTGTTTTCACTGTCTCTTCGTTACCTTGACCTCGGCTCGTCTCTGATTACACTTTTTCTCTGTGTAACATTTAGTCTGGGCGTGTACCTGACTCTGGCTAGTTCTTGTTTTCACTGTCTCTCCATTACCTTGACCTCAACTCGTCTCTGATTATGCTTTTTCTCTGTGTAACATTTAGTCTG